TGTATTTCTAAAATATTATTACCAATCCAGTCCAGGAATACTGGGAATAATTTCAAATAAATATTCCATCTAGGCACCCCTTATGTATTCTTCAGCTAAAGGAGCACAAACTTCTCTGTAGCCCCCAACTCTCTCTACCTTACAAAAGAGGGGGGGAAAGCTGTGCTTAATACTTAACTTCTCTAAACCATTATTGCCTCCATGAGTTATGCTAAGTCTAAAAAGACGAGTGTATCCTCTGCTACCAGCTGCCATTCTTGGTCAAATTTAATGTGGGTGCTCTTTCCAGAAAAAGAAGCAACGTTAATAATACATCATTGTCAATATTACCAAAAGAATCCTCCAAAGTCCTTGTTCTCTTTCTTCCCATTATGATCACAGAATTTCCACTGTTTCTCGTCCAAACTCTGAAGGGGATAAAAGGGAAATAACAACATCTCACGAGTGTACTTTCCTTGCTGAATATTGGAAGGAAGCATTCCGGAGTTTGTAAGCAATTTGGTGGGTCTCGTTCTTGGTATTTCTGTAATGCGACAGAATACCCCCACTGGTTTCCTAATGAAATGAAGTTGTAATGAAAAGCCATGTGGAGAAAAGTGTCATGTTTACTGCCGGCGACAGTGTGGGGCAGGGCTGGTCTCACACACACATAGGCAGTGTGCCATGGTCCTAAATAGCTCCACAACCACCAGTGATCATTTCCTCAGGCCAGGGTACTGCCACAGTGGTGATCATTAGGACTTTTCACAAATGTTCTGATTCTCCTCCTTCTAGGCACATACCAGGCTTATACTTCCTCAGCGCTCTCCCTGAAGTCAACTATGGCCATGTAACTTACTTGGGCCTGTGAACTATGAGCAGAAGTGATACATGTCCTTTCTATGCAGAAGCCTTCAAGAACCACTTCATGAGTCGTCATGTCCTTTTTCCTGCTTTAGAAATCATGGAAGCACACTGAGACAGAGCTCCCTTTGCCTGGGTCCCTGGGTGTACCAACAGTGACCAGAGACCCATGCCAGCTCATGTAGGAAATGGGGTACAAGCAAGAACCACACATTTGTTGTTATAAACAACTAAGAATTGAGTCGGTTTTTTTAAATTACTGCAGCATCACGTAGCCTAGCTGATTGATTCAGAAATCAGTATCAAGAAAAGGATGCTCTCCAAACAACTAAGAATTGAGTCGTTTTTTTTAAATTATTGCAGCATCACGTAGCCTAGCTGATTGATTCAGAAATCAGTATCAAGAAAAGGATGCTCCCCAAACAGAAAACTAGTATCATTTCAATGTGTGATCAGTATAAAAGTTATTAATGACATATTTTACATTTTTTTATACCCAGCCTTTGGACTACTCATATTTCAAGTTCTCAGTAGTCCCATGTGGCTAGTGGCTACCATATTGGGCAGCACGGAAACAGATGCAGGATACCTTACAGATCATCTAGTCAGTGGTTCTCAACTCTGGCTGCCCATTAGACTGACCCAAGTGAGGAGCTTTAAGAAGTACAGATGCCCAAGCAGGCCTGGGATTAGGATGAGGCAAGTGAGACCCGTACTCAGAGCACAGAATTTAAGGGAGCACAAAAAATACTCGGTAATAAAGATAAAAATATTGTAATGCATTGTCTGAAAAATCAAAATTAATGCCAAAAAAATCCATGGCCAACAAAATATCATAATTTTAAATTAAAACATACTAATTTTTCCTTTGCCTGAGGCTCAAATATGGCTCAGCGTGACACTGTACTTCAAAAGCCCACTCCAGTATTTCTGGAGGTAGGGCTGAGGCATTATATTTTTTAAAGCACTCAGATGCTTCTAATGTGCAGCCAGCTGTTGTAATCCAATGTCTGTCCTAATGCCCATGTTTCCTGACAAAATGAGGAGTCAATAAGCAGTCTTAATTCTGGCATGTAATTTCTTTTATCAAATCTCAAAAATAGTTCTTTTTTGGACTTCCCATGATGAGGAGTTCACTACTTCACAGGGCAGCCATTTCCACTACTGGACAACTCCAGTGTTAACTTTTTGTTTATTTGGAAAAAACTATTTAAAGAATAGTTTTCAAAAAAAGATAAAATCATGCCTCTCATACAGATGCAAAAAATAAAAACATGGTATTTTACTAAACAGAGAAATTAGACAGATGTTATAACCAGTATAAAAAAGAATCCAAAAAACCCAGACACCTTTATAGGTCAGGAATACTGAAATGGATATGCAAATGGAGAGAAAACTGTTTTTTTCACAAGGGGAGCAGGTGAGGAAAATCAACTGAACCTTTCCCAGACTGGAGAGAATTTGTCTCTCAGTCACTTAGGACTTACAGAGTTGTAAATATCTCCCACAGAATCAAGGCAATAGGGTGTGCCATAGACCACATACAGTTTTCCATTGAAATACAAATTATTTTCCACACAACAAATTGCTTCCCTCTGTATTTTTACCCATTGCTCTCAGAATAGTGGTTTTCAGATTTTGATTTGCAGGAGAATCACCCCGGAAGTGAGCTAAAAGGCAGATTCTCTCCCAAAGATCTTGAGTTTGGATGATGCCTATGAAAATGCCTTTTTAACAAGCACACTTGATGATTCTGATGCAGGTGTTCTGAGGATCGTATTTCAAAAAAACACTGGCCTAGACAAGAGATAACAAGTTTTGGTGCAGATATGGAGAAAAGGGGACCCTTGGGAATGTTGGTGGGAATACAAATTGGCTCAGCCCCTGTGGAAAACAGTGTAGGGGTCCCTCAAAAAATTGAAAATACAACCACCATATGATCCAGCAATTCCACATCTGGGCATATATCTGAAGGAAACCAAATCAGTATCTCAAAGAGATATCTGTACCCCCATGTTCATTGCAGCATTATTCACAATAGCCAAGCCATGGAAACAGCTTAAGTGTCCACTGATGGATGAATGGATAAGGAAAATGTGATAGATATATATATGATGGAATATCATTCAGTCATGAGAATGAAGGAAATCCTGCCATTTGCAACAAGATGGGTGGACCTTGAGGGCATTATGCTAAGTGAGATAAGCCAAACAAAGACAGTGTATGATATCACTTATATTTGGAACTAAAAAAGCTGAGCTCAGAAACTGAGTTGAATGGCGGTTATCAGACTGGGAAGTAGAGAAATTGCAGAGATACTGTTAAAGAGTACAAATTTGCAACTAGTTGATAAATAAGTTCTGGGGATCTAATGCACAGCATAGTCATATAGTCAACAATACTGTATTAAATACTTCAAAACTGCAAAGCGACTAGATCTTACATGTCCTCACCACAAAAAAGAAATGATAATTATAAAACGTGATAGAAGTGTTAGCTAAGGCTACAGTGGTAATTATATCACAATATATAAATGTATCATATCGAGGTCTTTGTATACCTTAAACTTACACAATGTTATATATAAATTATATTTCAATTAACAACAGCAACAACACCATCCCAGATCATATCTACTCCATATTCTGGAGACAGCTTTTTCCAAACGTGCTTTTCATAATATTTGAAGGTAGCTCTGGATTTTAATTCCAATCAGTCTCAGTGGTCTTAGTGCAGTATGTTTTCTTTGCTTCTAAGATAATATGCTATTTTTCTCCCCATTCAAATTTTCTAGGACAGACAAGGAACTATTTTTATATTATATGAACACCTGAAGAGAGACAAGTTGGGAATGTTGTGAGTATGAAGTGCATCTATGAGATGCGATAAGCTACAAAAATAGACTATAACAACCAATAAGAATGATGCTTCTCATGCATTTTAATCAGCATCCTGATTTATTGGAAGTCTATCTTGTTTTATTTAGATCTTTAAGTATTTCATAAAATGACTTTAGATGTGTCAGTGGGAGTTCATAAATATAACTGATTAATTATCCAAAATTGATGGGAAAGAGGCTAGTTCCAACAACATACTACACCGAAACACATACACATACAAGGCACAATAAATCTGACTGAGGAGGAACCAGCTCCAACATCCATATTGTAGAAGGGCAGTTGTCATTCTGGCATGCTTAGAAAAGTGCTCTGGTGACTTGGCAAGATGCTCCCCCAAAAGGCAGGGTCTATAGCTCCTCCTCAGCTCCAATTTCAGCCCTGATGCATGTATATGCTAAGAAGAGTCCTGCTAGCAGCACTCAGGAGGCTGCTCTGTTTCCTATTTCCTGCAAATTTCTCCCCAGCATAATCTGGAGAGCTAGCAAATTTGTCTTCTGATCTAGGATTCATACTTTAGAAACATAATCTTATTTCATATCTTGGAATATGGCCGTTAGACATCTTTAAATTATCTTAACTTACTGAGAAACCGTTTCTGCCCTGTATTTCTTGTCCTTCTGATTTCCACACTAGTGTAGACACTGCGGCCTCACATTGAAAGGATTATACACACTAAGATCTGGTCTCATGAAACACCAAATAAGAGCCAATTCCTCTACTAAGCATCAATGTCCTGAGCAGCCTCAGTTCCCCCTAGGTGCTCAGTCCCCTAGAAACTGGTCCCAAGAGCTGCACACTGAAATGGGCAAAGATATGCACAGGACAGGTCTCAACTCCCCTTTCCAAAGTGCCGTCCTTTGTTTTACCACAGCATTGTCTGTTACAACAGGCCATCCTCAGTGCAGTCATATTCAGCCTCATCCATCCCTTTGAACTCATGCAAATGTTTTGGTTTCTTCCCCCTTTGTAGCCCTAATGTGGCTAACACTTTAATCTAGTGTTTACAGTCTTAAATGCTTCTCTTCACTTGGGTGGAGAGCTGGTTGGCTGAGTCATCCCCTCCAGTACCCACCTTTCCCCAAGACCCCATAAACATGTAAAATTTACTGGGTTGTCAGAAGAGTCCCTTCACTGCTTATTTTAGGCTCTCTTCCCCACTCTTTTTTTATACTGCCAGGAGAGCAACAGGAATGAGACAGAGCACCCCAACAAGTACACATTCATCTTCTCTGCCTGGATATTCACATCCAGGAGGAGAATAGAGCCAGGGACACCTCTGTGCATGTGCAGGGAATGAGCTACCCTTTGCTTCCCAGTGATGTTCTATCCCTCAACCCCCTCCCTGCCCTACCCTCACTATCAGAAAATTCAAAAGCATTTTATCAGTGTGCCAGGAACAGTTCTAAGTGTTAGGCATATAGCACTGAACCAAAAGACAAGTCCCTGCTCTCATGAAGCTGATGTGGTGGTGGGTGGACAGTCAGTAAATAAGTAAATGAGTTAATATGCCCAGGGCTGTGGCAGGACATAGGCCACCAGGCAGTTACCGAGACTGGGAGAACCAAGCAGTCAGTGGATTTAAAGTTGGCAAGCTGGGGGATAGGAACTTTGTATTTTCCAGAATTAAGAGTCTAATTAAGCAGGTAAAGTTCCAGGTCCAAGTACATGTCTAAGCCCAGGAATTCAGACAGATGGGTTAGTTAAGTACAAGAACTAGAAATGAGAACACAGAAACATGAACCCTACCTTACCAGTACTGGCTGGCATGAAAGGTAAACTGCAAAGAACAAGCTGGGCCAGGACTGGAAAGACACAACCCCTCATGTGCTTGGAATCAGGCTGAGAGGGACAGGACCCTTCAGGTGGAGGGACAAGAGCAGCCAGGGAACCACATACCCAGGGAGTTCAGGTGCCAGGAGATCATCCCAAGGAGCAACCAGCTCACAGCATCAGGAAAGGTCAATTACAAAGAGTGAAAGGATATCCAGAGAGTTAGTTGTGGGGAGCACAACTATAGGAGCTCAAAAAAGAGGCTGCTTTTACAGACCCAGGCCAGCAAGGGGATGGCACGAAGAAAGCCTGTCGGCATGAAGCAGAACCCAGCAGAGGCTGACTTTCAGGAGAAGAATTTGTGTCCTAGAACTGACAGGTGAGACAGGGATAATTAATGTTAACAGGGCAGAGGCCGATTTCCCACAGTAGGGGCCACAGGAAGACTTATCCAAGTGGGTACTTGGGCACAGAGGAGACAGGCAAGAAGACAACATCAGGGAATTTGGGAGACTTCTGAGACTTACGTGAAAAAGTAACTCCCTAATCATCAAACTGATGGAGCAGCAAAGTCGGTTTGATGCTGAAGCCTACAGAATGAATAATTAGACTGGTGACAAAGAGGAGCTCACCCAACCATCCTTAATCCTGCTCCTGAGATTTGAAGCAGGAATGCCTTGACCCGCAGGCTAGCTTTGCTGGTGGCAATACTCCTAATGGTGTACCTTCTAGATGGTACTGCTACTCACATATCCTACAGAAAGGGCACTGTTGATTGACATGGGTCTCTTGAAGACTCTGGAGCCTTGTCTACTATTTCCTAGATCATCCTTCTCATCCCTTCCTGCAGCCACAGAACCAGAGAATGTTGAAGCAAGGAAGGACCCTGAGGATTAACAGACTCTCATGGTGTAGAAAGGAAACTGGGTCTTCAAGCAGGGCTGTGGTTTACCGGTATCACACAGTAGCTTGTGTCTCTGGACCCTGAATCTGGTGTGCTTTTCCAATACCATATGGCCACCTTATGTAGGGAACCCTATTATGGAAGAGATTCTCATCCTTCTGTGAACTGCATCACTACCTGTGCAAGTTTGTACCAACTTTATTAATTTACTTCTTCTGAGTATTAGGTAGGATTCGGGATTATCCCCAAAATTCTTACTTGCATGCAGCTGTACTTTCTTGACTGTGCGATAAACGGGTGGAATTACAGTTAGTACATCAGGAATTGCACTAACACATGCACATGGAGGTTGAGAACAGATGATTTAATAGACAATGACCAGACAGAGTCTTTGTTTTCTAGAATTCATATTGAACGAGAAAAGATGAGCTAATATAAACTTTTCTTCTTTGTGTTGTTTGTGTTGGTTTTCTCTAGAGCTTTAAGGAGAGGCTTTTCATGAGCTGGCTGGGCTTTGTTTGGCTTTGTTACCATCAGTTCACATCAGGCGAAGATGTTAGTCAGCTACCTCTTCAGCAAAGGGGAGGGCTCCAAGAGGGTTGACCTTACAGACCAGAATTCTGTGGTGTGGCTTTGCCGGGATCACTTCATACTGGCTCCATTTATACTGGCAGATTTCTGGGACTAGCAGAATTCAGGAAAAAATTTCAAGGAAGGAAAAATGAAGGAAATTCTAGAAATGAATTAATAGGGTAGAGGACTTAGAGTCCATCCAGCCTCTTGGTTCACAACCTGGGGACCATGGACCCCAGGAAGCTGAGGAGAGATGACAAGGGGGGCATGAATCCATGTGTGGACCCAGGATCATACACACACACACAAACACACTAATTTTTTTAAGTATGGGCCTCAATCATATATATATATACACACACATATGGTGGTGGATTCATTTACACACACACACACACATACACACACACACACATATATATGAATCAACTGAGGATTTCAGTGAAACTATACATTCCTGGATCCCAAACCCAAAGAATCTGATTTTGTTGATCTGAGGTAGACCCTAGGAATCTGCTGTTTTAAGAAGCACCAGGGTCTAGGGCACCTGGGTGGCTCAGTTGGTTAAGCTACTATCTCCAGCTCAGGTCTGATCCTGGGGTCCTGGAATTAAGCCCCACATTGGGCTCCTTGCTCAGGTGAGAGCCTGCTTCTCCTTCTCCCTCTGCCACTCCCCCTGCTTGTACTCTCTGGCTCTCTCTGTTAAATAAATAAATAAATAAATAAATAAATAAATAAATAAATAAATAAAATAAAATAAAATCTTTAAGGGAAAAAAAAAAGCACCAGGGTCCAATACATACTGACATATTGATTATGTGGCAATAAAGTACAAATCACTTTTAAAAATTATTGACTGAAGTTGCCTTTGGCTATTATTCTCTTAAAAGAGGCAATAGATACTAATGTTCAGTAACTATGAGAAGTAAGGGTGGGCAGTCCTTGGACTGGGGACTGTAACTCCAGAAGTTTGGAAACATTAATCCAATCCAATCCCTTCATTTCAGAAAAAAAGTAATGAAGAACCCAGAGAGCTTAAGTAGCTTTCTCCCCAAAGTCACACCGCCAGTGGCAGGACAAACAGTCTCCTGCCTGGGGCCTGGGAAGCTTTCTGCTCCCAGCCTGACCTATGGGAAAGCCCAATCAGGCTGGAAGGTAGCCATTCCAAAAGCATTTAAGCCTTACACTCCGAAATGACTTATTTTACAGGCAACAACAGGGAAGGAAGTAACCCAAAGTTCTTTGCAGTTACCTTAAGAGGCAGCTCTTTAGTTTCATACCCTCAAGACAGAACAATTCTTAAAAATCAATCCATTCATTTAATCCATTTTTTCCCCTTTGATACAGAAAGTTCACAAAATAACTAGAAGATAAACCCTGCAGTTTTGCAAAGTTTTGCAAAGCTAAAACTTACAACAATCTGTTGTTTGGGAATGTTCACTGGCCACAGTGTTGTCTCTGAAACCTTCAAGTGTGTGTTCAGCTTTATAAAGCTTTATAAAGCTGGCTGTTCAGGAATGGGACACATTCTCCTAGGAACATGGATGGAGCATACTCATAAATAACAGGAACTGCTTGTATACATGAAATAGAAAATAAGCCCCAGTCTCCAGAATACTGAGGTGCAAATATCTCTGTAGGCAAGAAAATCGTTAGGTGTGAATTATATTTAGCAACAATTCTCTTATAAGCTGATTTCAACAATTTTTTAAATGAGCTAATACTATCGTCCTAGCTCAGTGGTAGCCTTTTGCTAGGAATGACTGAAGCTATTCTTATATTCTGCTAAGTTGATTAATAAAAAATATTTATTACACAAATCCTCTTTGTTGACAAGTTAAAATGGAGCCTCATCTTTCATATCTCCCTGAAGATTGCCACCTTGTGAGATTGAAAATACTCATTAAATTCCACCACCAGACAGGCACAAATGAGAGGGTGATTGTTTTTAAGCATGTGAGGGGAATCGTTGGTAAACTCATTTGTTTGGATATCATTAACAGAACAATCGGTGAAGATCTCCAGGGGGTCCTCATGACCTTTGCTCGAAATCTCTTCATCATCCATCAAGAAATATCAGCACCTAATATGCAAGGCGAGACCAATTTTAAGGTGAGGTGTTAATTAACTAACGATTCTGGTTAATTTCTATACAAGGACTGAAAATACCTCATGCTGTATTGTAAACAAGTGCTAAACCATTTTTTTTTAATTGTGAAGCAGTACATATCTTATAATGTACAGGGTCAATATTATAAGGTTCCCACTGAACCTGTTAGTTAAATTTAATAGTTTGAAATTTTTTCTTTGAAATATAGTAGACTTGTTTTAAGTTGCTGCCATTTTCAAACCCAGTTTACAAGACAACACGGCTCTCTGAGATCAGAGGTGAAGCTGAAGTGTCACAATGAAACCAAAACAGAGACTGTCACCACCAAAAATCCTGAATGTAACCTAGTTACATTTCAGATAATGCAGTGTCTGGCCAAGGATTCCTGGGGAAGCCTCGTTTCTAGAACCAGAGGAGTTCTGAGGCCCCAGGAAGGATAATGTGTAGTAGAGAGAAACAGAAAAAGCCCTCAGCATATACATGGGCCATGTACCCCACCCTGTTTCTCCAAAGTGGGGCAGAAATTTTATCACTAACCTGTCTGAAGCTTCCAAATGGCCTTTAAAGATGTTGGTCTATGAAAGCCAGTTGTATGTAATTGATCAGAAGTCTCCAAACTGTAGAAATATGAACAAGAGCAAGAAAACAGGAGCAAGATCCACACAAGAGTTTTTGAAACCCAGGCCAGAGATGAACATTTGGTATTTTTTTAATTTCAATTTTTTATTTAAATTCTAGCTAGTTAACATATAGTGTAAAATTGGTTTCAGGTATAGAATTTATTGATTCATCACTTACATTTAACACCCAGTGCTCATCACACAAGTGCCCTCCTTAATACCCATCACTCATCTAGCCCATCCCCCACCCGCCTCCCTCCATCGACCTTCAGTTTGTTCTCTATCGGTTAAGAGTCTCTTATGGTTTGCTTCCCTCTCTCCCTCTCTCTTTTTTGTGCCCCTTCCCATATGTTCATCTATCTTGTTTCTTAAATTCCACATATGAGTGAAATCTTATGGTATTTGTCTCTGACTTATTTCACTTAGCATAATACACTCTAGCTCCAACCACGTCATTACAAATGGCAAGATTTCTTTTTGATGGCTGAGTAATATTCCATTGTATATATATAAACCGCATCTTCTTTATCCATTCATCTGTTGATGGATATCTGGGCTCTTTCTATAGTTTGGCTGTTGTTGATAATGCTGCTATAAACATCAGGGTGCATATGTCCCTTTAAGTCAGTATTTTTGTATCCTTTGGGTAAACACCTAGTCGTACAATTGCTGGATCACAGAGTAGTTCTCTTTTAACTTTCTGAGGAAACTCCATACTATTTTCCAGGGTGGCTGCACCAGTTTGCATTCCCATCAACAGTGTTAGAGGGTTCCCCATCCTCACCAACATCTGTTGTTTCCTGTGTTGTTAATTTTAGCCATTCTAACAGGTGTGAGGTGGAATCTCATTGTGGTTTTGATTTGTATTTCCCTGATGATCAGTGATGTTGAACATCTTTTCATGTGTCTGTTGGCCATCTGGATGTTTTCTTTGGAAAAATGTCTGTTCATGTCTTCTGCTCATTTCTTAACTGGATTATTTCTTTTTTGGGGTGTTGGGTTTGACAAGTTCTTTATAGATTTTGGATACTACCCCTTTATCAGATATGTCATTTGTAACTATCTTCTCCCATTCCATAGGTTGTCTTTTACTTTTGTTGATTGTTTCCTTCACTGTGCAGAAGCTTTTTATCTTGATGAAGTCCCAATAGTTCGTTTTTGCTTTTGTTTCCCTTGCCTCTGATGACATGTCTAGGAAGATGCTGCTACGGCTGAGGTCAAAGAGGTTGCTACCTGTGTTCTCCTCTAGGATTCTGATGGTTTCCTGTCTCACATTTAGGCCTTTCATCCATTTTGGATTTATTTTTGTGTATGGTGTAAGAAAGTGGTCCAGTTTCATTCTTCTGCATGTTGCTGTCCAGTATTCCCAACACCATTTGTTGAAGAGATTGTCTTTTTCCCATTGGATATTCTTTCCTGCTTTGTTGAAGATTAGATGACCATATAGTTGTGGGTCCATTTCTGGGTTTTCTATTCTGTTCCATTGATCATTGCATCTGTTTTTGTGAACACTTGGTATTGATCACCAAAATCTGCATCTGATTCCCAGCATGGGCCTTCATCATGTTTGAACAGGTCAAGTAACTCAAAGGACTCAAATGGAACCGCATGTGATCTTTCTCTTAATTGGAAAGCCCAACAAAAGCTGTTGTAAAAAATGTAAATTTTGAATGTATCTTCCTTGTACTAGGGCCTGGTCTCTCTAGTAACAGTAATAATAATGATAATGCTTTCCTCTTCAATGTGATTTTATGAGTTGGAAGAATGACCATTGCTTTTCCTACAACAGGACTAAGCAGACTCAATGAAAAATAGGCCCAGTGTTGCATTGATTTTCACTGGTCCTAAAGGATCTATCTCTTCATTTATATTCTAAGTTATTGTCAGCTAGCATAATTTCATCAGTTACTGCGATGTGCAAAATTCTGAGCTATATGCACATGATCAGTTTAGTCTATCCAAATATAACTAATAACCAGAATCAAATGGTGCTATGGACTGAATTATGTCCACCCAGGCGCCTCTAGATTCATTTTTAGTAATATTTTCTGTCTACCACCCTAGTGACATTCTAGTAAGTATTTTCAATTTGTAAAGAAGGATTTACGAAGACTGAATAAAAATGGAAGGTAGTGCAGATAAAGCATTTAACAAAATCTAACACCATTTCCTAAACACACTCAACCTAGGAATAGAAGGGAACTTCCTCAACCTGTTAAGGGCATTAACAAAAACCCATAGCTAACATCATAGTTCATGGTGCAAGACTAAAAGCTTTCCACCTAAGATCGGGAGCAAGACAAGGATGTCTTCTCTCACCACTTCTATTCATCACTGTACTAGAGGTTCTAGCCAGAGCAATTCAGCAAGAAAAAGAAATAAAAAGGCATCCAGACTGGAAAGAAAGAAGTAAAACTATCTCTATTCACAAATAACATGATCTTGTATTTAGGAAATCCTAAAGAACCCAGAAACAACCTGTTAGAGCTGATAAACAAGTTGAGAAAGGTTGCAAGACCCAACATCAATATAGAAACATCGTATTTCTATACACTAGCAATGAACGATCCAAAAATAAATTGTTGGGGGGCGCCTGGGTGGCTCAGTCAGTTAAGCGTCTGCCTTTGGCTCAGGTCATGATCCCAGGGTCCTGGGATGGAGTCCCACGTTGTGCTCCCTGCTCAGAGAGGGGTCTGCTTCTCCCTCTGCCCCTCCCCCCTGCTTGTGCTCTTGCTCTCTCTCACACTTTCTCTCATGCTCTCTCTCTAAGTAAATAAATAAAATCTTTAAAAAAATAATTTTTAAAATTTAAAATTTAAATTTTTTAAATGTTTTTAAAAATTCCATTTACAATAGCATCAAAAAGAATAAAAATACTTAGGAATAAATTTAACAGAAGTACAAGATCTGTCCATCATAAAAGAAAGAAGATCTAAATAAATGGAGTGAAAGACTTAATATTGTTAGATGGCAATAATACTCCCCAGATTGATCTATGGATTCAACACCAATTCCTATCAGCATCCCAGCTGGCTTTATTGCAGAAATTTACAAGATGATCCTACAACTCCTGTGGAAATGCAAAGGATCCAGAATAAGCAAAATAATATTGAAAAAGAACAACAAAGAGGAATTATGCTTCTCAACTTTAAAACTTTACTACAATGGGGTGTCTGGGTGGCTCAGTCAGTTAAGCATCTGATCTTGATTTCGTCTCAGGTCAGGATCTCAGGGTCATGGGTTTGAGCCCTGTGTTGGGCTCCACACATGGCACAGAGTCTGCTTATCCCTCTCCCTCCGCTCCTCCCTCTGGCTCGTGCTCTCCCTCTGTCTCCCTATCTCTAAAAGAAATAAATAAAATCTTTAAAAAAATAAATAAATGAAACTTAACTACAAAACTACAGTAATCAAGACAGTGTGGTACTGGCATAAGAATAGACATAGATCAATGGAATAAAATTGAGAGTCCAAAATAAACCCATACATTTATAGTCAATTGATTTTCAACAAGAGTGCCAAAACAATTGGATGGGAAAAAAAATTGTCTTTTTAACAAATGGTGCTGGAGAAAACAAATATCCCCATACAAGTGAATGAAGTTGTACCTCTACTCTACAACATATATAAAAACTAAATAAAAATGGATCAAAGACCTAAATGTAAGAGCCACAACTATAAAACTCTTAGAAGAAAACACAGATATAAATAAATCTTCATGACCTTGTAGCTAGCAACGCCTTCTTAGACATGATACCTAAAGTGTAAACAACCAAAGTAAAAATAGATAATAGATAAAATGGAATATTATTCAGACATAAAAAGGAAATGTAGTTCTGATCCATGCTACAACACAAATGAACCTTGAAAACATTATGTTAAGTGAAGGAGGCCAGACACAAAAGGCCACATATTGTATGATTCCGTTTATATTAAATGTCCAGAGTAGGCAAATCCATAGAGACAGAGAGTAGATTAGCAGTTGTCAGGAGTTAGGGGAGGGAGAAAATAAGGAAAGGCAGCTAATGGGCATAGAGTTTCTATCTGGGGTGATGAAAATGTTCTGGAATTACATAGTAATGACGGTTTCTTGTGAATATACTAAAAACCACTGAGTTGAACTCTTTGTAAGGGTTTTCACTTTAAGGTATTTGAAGACTACCTCAATAAAAAAATAGCTAAATAAAATAAAAGAGAAAAGTGCCATTTTTCTACCTAATGGAAAAACCAATGGAAGTCAATACTCCCATCAGCCCTCATTTTAGGATGACTAGATCAGTGCTTCTCAAATTATCTGTGGTGAAGTTTTGTTTTTTTCCAACCTATCATGGATCAGTACTTTTGTAAAATACAACAAAAATGAATTACTAGAAAAATGAAATGAAAAAAATTAAAGACGTATAAAATAGCCCATTTTTTTCATTTGATTTAGCAGCCATAAAAATTTCTATAAAGGTTTCCAAGTTCTTACTCTCAATTTTTTTACTCATTTCAGGACTGATGACACAATTTGTAGATGGGTGTTAGTTGGCAAAACACGCCTTGAGTTTAACTGGTCTAAATTATACTCAATTCCAAAATGGAGCAAATAATTGGGGTGGGGGAAAGAGTTGTAAGAGGTCTTTAAGTAATGAATATTATTTTTATTGTTCATTTATAGACGGCCATTGACGACATTGAAGCCATTCTAGGAGTAACAGAGGAAAACAAAATAAGATTTGAAGAAGAGCTAAAACAGTCCAAAGATGATAAAAACCTCTCTAAACCTGATAAATGAATGTTCCTGGAATACATTGCTGATTTTGGATTCTAATCTGGAGTCAAAAAAAGGCAACATTCTTTTTGCTGTTAGGAATAAAAGTGGGGAGTGGAGTTAGTTTGCTTTGTTTGCTAGATGTATCAAACAGATCATAATGTAATGAATGCTCTTTTTTAAAAAAAATTTATTAAGTGATCTTATTTTGCTTATTAAATTAAAACCTATCTGTGCTTTTACTTGAGAGTGTCGAACAATCGCTTCTTCTTCCAGAACTCAGGAAGAAATAATCTCACAAGAAAGTTACAAGTTACTGATATCACTTCTGCACCTACCTCTTTATGAACTTCAGGATTATGGAGCTTTTGTTCATGCCTTATGAAGTTTTCTCCTCCTGTTTCTAAGAGTAATTAGTCTTCTGCATTTAAGAAATGGAATAAAGGCTTAATCATTGCTATTTGGCAAAATAGGTCTTCTTTTCCCCAAGAAAATTACATTTACATGGATTTTTAAAGTGACCCTTTATCATTCATTGTATTTTTTTTTTTTTTTGTCCCAAGCCACTATTGTTTGTTGTTGCCATTTCTCAAAAAGTAAGGTAAGCCAACATCTAGTTAACCAAAGCATCAGAATTTATCTAGGTGGCAGTATCTGCTCTTAGTTTAATATACAGCGTAACTCGAGCCCTCTAGCTTTAATACACATTTGTAATCTCAAATTCTCCATTTAACATGGCAGTAGGACTTTTACAATCATAATTCAACAGTACCCTTTAAAGTACAAATTGTTAAAATTATGCAGCACTGACACTAACTCTTAGCATTCGCTTCTCAATTGTTCAAAATATTTCAGAATCATCCAGCTTTACAGAAGGGTGAAATATGCAAGTCACAACACCAAAATCACATAGTTGTTTTAAAGAATAACCTTTGTATCTTTAAAAATATTTGAATGTGTTGGGGAAACTAGGAGTATGGTTTTATGTATGGAATTTCAGTAATTTTTAACAGTGCCTCAGCCACAAGCTAAGAGTTCCTGCAATAAAGTCAACATCTTTGTGTGTGTCAGCTTTTGTTTTGCTATAGTTGGAAATACATTAATTAGCCAGGTTTCCTGCCTGTGCTAGGTACAACGATGACCTCTTTTTCTTGCCAGATCATTCTAATCCATATGAGGGGCCCATTGTCCAGACACTTGACGGATAGGAAGTACTACATGCCCATTAGAGTCTCGCCTCAATTGAAGCCAGAGCAACATAAGGTCCAAGAGACTCATTAGTTCATTGGCACAATCGTGTCCTGAGAGTAAATGAAACCCTCTGTCTCCTTATGGCTCTCATCTGCTCTGGACTTTAAAAGAAAACTGTCTCTGTTTTGTTCAGCACAGCAGTGCATCTTTCACATGGTGAGAACCCCCTTAACAGTACAAAACTGTTAAATCTATGAGGGAAGTTTTGTATGTGCATTTTGATTAGCACTCTCAAGCCTCAAGCTGCTGGCAATAGTAAAATGAGTTCACTCTCCTGTACTTTTGTTTTTTTTTAACCCACCATGATTGGTTTTCTCAAACAATGCACTTTGCTTCTTTGCATCTCTCATTAGCATACACCACAGAATGCCTGTTTCCAAATTGAGGCCTTATATTCAGATTCAGAAAATAATCGGGAGTAAGGTTCTCTACCTAAAAACCTACAGCCTCAAAATGAAAGGAAAAAATTTGGTATAATAAAACAATCACTTCAAGTAATTAAGTGGAAGAAGCCAGAGGACCAGATTAAATTAGTGAAATGTTTTAATTACAGAACATTTGAAAAGAAGCATAGTCCATTATCTTTTAGCACATATATGTAGCAAAGATACTGCGCTACTGGTAAACTAAGGTAAGTTTGAAAAAAAATCACATATATGTGCACAATGTATAAAGTATCCTAAACAAAAATTGAGCTTTTACCATTCTAAATAGGAAAATGAAATATTTGTTGATAACAGGATGTCCCTTTACATATTACCCATTTTATATTGATTTTAAAGAAACCAAATAGGTGATATTTAATGACAAACGGCTATCTACTTACTTATCTTCTGTAACCTACTTATGTTAACCTTTAATGAACACTTCTTATGGGCTAAGTATATACCGTACTAGAAGCTTTATCTACATTATTTTATTGCACCCGTCCAACAACCCAACCTTATGTTGCTTTTATTGCACCTGTCCAACAACCCAATGTCCCATTTACATACATACCTCCACTAAGATTTAGTGGAGGTATCTCAGCGTATGTCTCAAGACCAAATGAAATTGGGGCTTTGCTCTTTTACCACAAATTCTAGCATGTTGTGTAAAGTAGAAAGTTCAGATTCCACTTATCCCAGATCACACAAGAGACTTGCACTTTTTTATAACAAATTCTAGTGTTGCTTAAGAGACAATTTCACTTATGCTTCCTGCTAATAAAATCAACTTGCACAACTGACAGTATCATGAGGCATCACAATTATGTAATCAAAGAAATCAGAAGAGAAGGTGGTGTCAGTGGAATTCTCCCATGGTGCTGGATCTGTAAGACTTCGGTGGAGGACTGACAATAGGAAGGTGCAGGAGAGTTTGGAAGCTGGGAAGTCATGCCCCGTAGTTTGTTTGAAAAGGGGTATAAGGTCAAGAAACTGGGAAAGGGTTAAGAAAGGACTTCCAACAAGACAGAGAATAACTTGGATAAAGATGGAGCATTATTTCAGCTATATCATCCTAAGAATTGCAAGCATCCTATTTTTCAGGTATAAAAATATATATTTTATCATAAGTAATATATTAGTAACCATCCCATAGCTTTAACAATTAATAATCATTTGTATGCATCTGGCACCTTTCTTCTAAAGAGCTCAAAGCACTTTACATTTGTTATCTCATTAACTCCCAACACTGTCCCTATGGGGAAGGTAATAAGTATTTTAACATTTAAATGTTTATCTTTCAGAATTTCTCAAGCATACATTATGTTTCCAAAAATGTAAATGTTCACTAGTTTCCTTTTACTGTTCCTCTGGCTTCAATGTGCATAACAGATTTGTTCAACTCTTTAAATGTACTGATCATAGTAAATCTTATCTGGAAAACTATAAATTGCTAAGATAATGGGAGAATGGAAGTTGTGGCTGGGGGGAAGCATATGACTGCTTTTCTCACTGGAAAAAGTTTGGTCCAGTCCATTGCAAATGCAGATGAAATGTGCTGTGGATCTTCCAAATCCTTTCTGTATCCCATTCTTTCCAAAAGGCGAGCCTCAGGAGGGTAAGGGCTGTATCTATAAGCCTGAGGTAGATTGAACTACTATGTACATCTTTGTTTTACTGATGATTTTATCAAAGTGGAACAGAAACTGGATGCATTCTATTAGGAGTTGCATCCCAAAGAGTCACAGAATAATAAGGGCCCAAAACTTGTCTCCCCAGCCCTCACTCTTTCTGGGCTGATCATACCTTCCTCAATTTTCTAACTAGAAAAATGACAGTAATACCTGCTCCTTGGGGAAGCAGTAGAGATTAACTGGCCAATGTTGGGAGAGCGTTTCCAAGAAGAAGCATTCTACATAAATGTTTAAGTATTATTACTGCACTGCTACTTCAAATGGAAGTTCTAACTTTGAAATGTGATTATACTTTCAAAAAAAAAAAAACCCTTCATAACCACATATATAGGTTTAGTTTTCACCAAGAGTCTAACTCATGGTTGTGAAACTTTATTGCACTTGATGGAGGACCCTGGCTTTTATTAGTTTTAAACTGCTGGTTGCTGGGGTATTTATGTAAATGAGGGAAAGATACCAAAACAGTAAATAATAAGCATGTCCCTGCTGTTTAAAAATCTGTTGGTAGAAACAACTTTTGTTTGGTTATAAAAAGAACCTAAACATAGCACAGAAAAATATAGCTTTGGCATCTATGCATAAAATAGCATTTTGGGTTTGGGGGTGGGGTTTGACGTTGGTTTTTCTTCCCAAGCATTTCTTTGCCATTCTGTAAACATTTTGTTTTACCCCTACAGTGGCTACCATATATATCATATACATGTATGTAAGAGAGAAAATAAGTAAAATACATTTTAAGAATTTTTTTATTTAACAAAATGTTATAAAGTATACTAGATAGCTAATTATCGCTCTCAGAAAGCAAGGCCACACCCAAATTTATTGCAGTCTCCTCATAAGGAATGTTATGATAAAATCATGGTCCCATGGGGCACCTGGGTGGCTCAGATGGTTAAGCGTCTGCCTTAGGCTCAGGTCATGATCCCAGGGTCCTGGGATCGAGCCCCACATCGGGCTCCCTGCTTGGCGGGGAGCCTGCTTCTCCCTCTCCCTCTACTGTTCCCCCTGCTTGTGCTCCCTCACTCTCTCTATCAAATAAATAAATAAAATCTTAAAAAAAAAAAAAAATCATGGTCCCATAAACTTAACAACAAAACAGCAGAACTTCCATTGGTTGTAAAATAACTTCAAATTCAAATTCAAATTCTGGTTCATTTAAAGATTCATGCTGTTTGCTTCCCAGCAGAGGACACAAAATACTTATTTTGCAATCACTGAAATATTTAAAATGATCTAACAACACATGACTTCTAGGTTTCCTTTACAATGTCTTTCTACTCATCTTCTTTTTAAGTTGAATATCCATAGCCACATTTTGAAGCCAAAAAACTAGGCTCATTTGCAACAACAATGAAAAATCAGAAAGGTTTAAACATTTAACAATAAGGTATTACTTAAAAATTACAGGGGGTGCCTGGGTGGCTCAGTTGGTTAAGAATCCGACCCTTAATTTTGGTTCAGGTCATGATCTCAGGGTCGTGAGATTGAGCCCTGAGTCAGGCTCCACACTGGGCATGGAGCCTGCTAAAGATTCTCTCTCTCCCTCTCCCTCTGCCCCTCCCCTCATCCCTACCCCTGCATGCACACATGAACACGTGCTCTCCCTCTCAAAAAAAAATTAAAATAAGAAAATTATGGAATAGCTATATAAAGACCTCTATATAGCCACTTAGAAAATCACAGGTTACTATAACTACTGTATGATATAGCCATTCCACTCCTAGGCATTATTTACCCAAGAGAGAAAAAAGTGTATGTCCATTCAAAGACTTATACATGAATCGTCATAGCAAATTTATTTGTAATAGCCCCAAACTAGAAACAACGCAAATGTCCACCAACATGTAGATGCATAAATTATGGGATATCCTTACAATGGAATACTACTCAGCAATAAAAAGGAACAAGTTGTTGATAAAATCAAAGACAGGAATGAATCTTAATCTATTTGTGCTGAATGAAAAAATCCAAACAAAAAAGAGTACATATCCATTTATAAATACAAACTATAGGGGCACCTGGGTGGCTCAGCCGTTTAGCGTCTGCCTTCG